AATAAAGGTTAACGAGCAAAAATGTAAGCAAGTTACATTTACACTGAATAAGAGTAACTGTCCGCCCTTGACTTTAAACAACGTACAAATACCACAAAGCAATCATGTCACTTACCTAGGGGTCCACCTGGACAGGCGACTTACTTGGCGAAACCACATAGTGGCTAAAAGGACTCATCTCAAGCTGAAGGCTAATTCTCTCCACTGGCTTATTAACTCTCGCTCACCCCTGAGTCTGGAGTATAAAGTGCTTATTTACAATACAGTTTTAAAACCGATATGGACCTATGGATGTGAGTTATGGGGAAACGCGAGCAGCAGCAACATCGAAATCCTTCGTCGTGCGCAATCTAAAATCCTTCGAACAATCACCGGAGCACCTTGGTATATGCGAAATGAGAACATTCACCGCGACTTAAGAATACCAGAAGTATGAACCGAAATAGAACAACGGAAGACGAAATATGTATCGAAGCTTTTAGCGCACCCAAATCATGTAGCAAGATCTTTATTGCGTGTCAACAGGACCTCAAGACTACGTAGGAATGACTTACCAGCCCATTCGTAATCTTTTCTTAGGGCCAGTTAAGAAAATACTCATCCCAACTAGGGGATGTAAATAAAGTGAATAGATTAAGATTCGAAAACTTATTGTTAGGCTCTTAGGCAGGGCAGATTCAATAAATAAAAAAAAATAATAAAAAAATTACTCTTAGTGTGTTCTATGCAATAAGTAGCATGAATTCAGTAGTTTTGCGATATGACAAGTAATTCAAGGAAATTAAGAACATGATAATTATGAATACAGATTGCAAACTTTCTAGTGCTGTGCAGCCGTAGGTCGTTTCCGAAGTAATTTTCTGCGTAGAACTCCAACTCTATCTTAGAATTGCGCCAAGTTGTTGAGTTTTTTGCGTTTAATTTCACGAAAAACGGCTTTAATGGCTTATTTTGTTTGCTCTATGCTATTTAGTACTATTCTTACCCTTCAAATGTTAGATTCGAGGACTCGGCATTTGGTAGAATAATAGTAGTACTAGAAAAATAGCCGAAACAATTCCAATAGATTTCTTATTATTTAATCGGAAAATCTTCTTCTTTCAGCTTCTTATTTCGCTTCTTTTGAGTTCGTTCCTTTTTGAAATAATATAATTCTCGAGTTTTTTATTTTTCTATGTAATTCTTATATTCTCAGTTTATATAAGTTAGAAAAAATAACAGTTTTAACTATGGGACAATAACACGTTGAATAGCTTCCAATGTTGCTTGTAAAATGAGCCATATCTTTAACTAATTATAAAAAAAAGGTTACCTAAAAATTAAATTAGTTCAAAAGACTGTTACGTTACAAATAGCTTTCCACCGAAAACATATTGGTAATGAAGAGTATATGGAACTATTTTATTTTACTGTGAAATAAGGCCGAAAATGCTCGAAGAAAACTATACTTTCCCTTTTTTTAGTTTGGTGGATTCCACGCCAAAAAACTTTTTAATATTTTGGTCTGTTACATTACATTACAAAATACTGCCGACTTGATTTTCATATAGAAAGCTAATCGCTGATTTTTTTGTCGAAAACTTTTTTTTATTAAGTTCAAAATAATACAAGGCAAGCGAAGAGAGGCAAGTATAATGCAAAAAAGTGGTGGACCTTAAATATAAACTACCCGTTAGTTTTATGTTGTGCTTTTTTAATTTTCGTTTATTTAAAGGTGTCTCAAGACTAAGTGAATTTTACTGTTTGAGAGAAGGAGATTCGTGTTAATATTGATGTTATCCGATACCGTAGAATATGTATGACCCAGATATAATCCAAAATCTGCGAAACCTGAGAAAAAAATGTTTTCCCCTTGGTTTCGTTTTCGGCAATTTGGGCCATATATATCTATATATTTCATGATTCAATGATCGGATCTAAACCAAATTAGTATGGGACCACCTCTGAATTATCGAAATCGGTTGACGTGGTCCAACGTTATGCGGTAACATACATAAAAAAAAAAAAAAAATATTCCGACGAACTGATAACCTCCTCCTTTTTTGGAAGTCGGTTAAAAACTGGAACACATCCCACCGAAAACCCTGCACATTAAATTTAAACCAAATATCTCGCTTAAAAGTAATCTTAGCATCGCATCAGAATGCTTCAGTAAAGTATGGCATAACAGTTTAGTTTCGACGTACATATGTCAAGTTAGCCCTACACTTTTCGAAATTTTAAAGGTTAACTACAGCATTTTTTTGTAGTTGTAAACATTTTTTTTCTTATTTTATTTTAAATTTTTAAAATAAAAAAAGAGCTTTCGTCTGTTAGAAAAAGATTGTATGTAGTAGAGATGGGCACGGGCCGGGCTTTCCACGGATACGGGCCGGAAAATTTGACTTCGAGCTCGTGCGTGCATATGCGTGCAGTGAATTTCCAACAAAGCACGAAAAAGTTCGGTAAATTAATAATAATAATAGATTGGCGCTTACACATATGTTAGGCTGGTATGGTCACTTGCGAATCGAATAAATTTGGCGAACACACCTAAAATTTGCATTGTGAATGGCGAATGAACTTTTTCGCCGGACATGCGTCGTTGCCATTCAAACAAATTAAATGAGTTCATCCTCATTTCACGTTTCTGTCATTTATACTTCGAATTATTTTTTATTACAAACTAAAATTTGAAAAGCAAAATGTTTTATAACGTAGATTTATATTTTGAGGATAGTTATAATGTTGAACCGCGAGCTAACCTTCTTCGTCAGCGGCGTTTTATTAGAGATTACTCTAATCCTATGGAGCTGCCGTCCACAGTGTAAGTATCCAGTGCAGATAGGTTATTCAATGAAACATGAAAAATTTATGCATATATGAATATGTATTTATAGATTTACAGCGAATTTTCGGCTAAGCAAGGACGCTTTTATGTATGTGCTGGACAAAATCAAGGACAAATTTAATTGCCGCCTGTCCTCGTCTGTAACGCCAATGCTAAAATTGTGTTGCGCACTGAGATTTTTTGCGCATGACAGTTATCAGCAAGCTGTAGGAAATGAATTTCAATTGGGTCTTGCGCAACCTACAGTTTCGCTCATTTTAAAGGAGGTATTGCCCATTTTAGAAAGAGAAATTTGCAGTGCTTCGATAATCACAGAAGTGACAGAAGAAGAGAAGCAACAGGCAAGGAGCAAATTTTTCTCCAGATCAGGAATACCCAACGTAATTGGCTGTGTTGACGGAACACATATTGCGATTTATGCCCCCACCGCAAATAGACACCTCTATCTAAATAGAAAAGGCTTTTTTAGTATAAATGCTATGATTGTAAGTTTTTAAGAAATGAATACAGCAACACTGATAAACAAATTGTATATTAAAGGCTTGCGATCATGACATGAATATCCGGTTTGTGGATGCTAGATATGCTGGTTCTACACATGATTCGTTCGTGTGGAACAATAGTTCATTAAAGACTTATTTGGAGAATATGCATCAAAGTGGCGATCATAACTCTATTTATTTAGGTACTTTAAATTTGTTACATCGGCACAAAATTAATGTAAATACTATTTTAAAACAAAAACTACTTATTTATAGGTGATTCCGGATACCCACTTAGTCCTTATTTACTAACACCCTTCCGCCATGCAGACTCTAGAACTAGGGAGTCAATTTTTAATAAGAAGCACGCGAAAGCTAGAAACGTCGTTGAACGTACGATCGGAGTTTTGAAATGTCGCTTTCGATGTCTCCTGAGTGATCGAAAAATGCGCTACGATCCTGCTAAAGCAACATCCATTATAAATATTTGTTGCGCTTTCCACAATATTTGTAAGAAATTTAGAATCAGTGATCCAGAGGAAGCTGAAATTTTTATTGACACCGTTGTATCATCAGAGCCAATCAGTGAAGATGCCAATAATACATCAGGAGAGCGCCGCAGAAGGCAAATAGCTGATGCTTTGTTGTAAAATTAATTGCAGTTCGGTTTATTGAATAAATTCAAAATCATTTACCTTACTTTTGTTCTTTTTATTTCATTTTATACTTCAGAATTCTTTATTATATACATGTTAAATTAAACCTAATTGTTTCTATGCTCTTAAACTTAATAAAAATCACAAGTTGAATTCAGTACCTTCATCAAATATTAAACTTAAAATTAATTCATCACATGCTTTTATATATTAAAATGAAAAATCACAAATTAAATTCAGCCGTTAAAAAAATATTAAACTTAAAACTAGTTCATCACATTTTTTTATAAATAAAAATAAAAAAATCACAAATTCAATCAACATAAAGAAAAGATGGATATGAATCTAAAGAGTAGGAACTAACCCAAGATGGAAAAACAAAAAGTGTTGTATATCAAAATGTGTAAAACAAATGATAAATTTTCATATAGAAAAATTCCAGGACTTTTCATTCGTTTTTCAATATTTGGTGTAGAGAAGCACACCGGGGTACTGCTAGTATAAATATGTAAGTATACACGCAAACATTTTCTATAATTACTGGTATAGAAAAACAATGAACTCTGAAAAGAATTAATATTTTATTCAACAAAAAAACTTTTTGTGTAACACATAATTCATATTAAGGGCCACCAACTTACCTATTTTAAAGTATAGTTAAATCGTTAACGGATAAGATAACGGCCCAGAAACGTAAGGAACATACATAGACATATGTTTACTTGCCTTAAAGGAAAGGCGTTCGCTTTATGAGCGAAGAGTTAAATTCATGAAAATCATAAACAAAATTTGAATGTCAATGATGAATAAATTTCGAAAAGGGCTAAAAAAAGGGCTAGGGGCAATTTCAAATTTTTGTGGCCAAAAAAAGAATTTGGTAGCCAAATTTAGCCACCAAAGGGCTAAAACGGCAACACTGCTGAAAACATCAGTACTGCAACGTTATGTGTGCTTTTGCACAAGCGGAAAGAACTTCTTGAGATGTTTTTTTATTGATTTTTTTCTCATATCAAACAAACTTCATAAGTTCTCACTTAAAAGGGTTAACAGAAAAGACAAATGAAAGAAAAAATTATGATAATAAGGCTGTGTGCGAGTTGACCTAAATTTTAGTACCTACACTAATATTCCACTGGAAATTTCCAGCACTGCTACAATTTAGGAAAACAGCTGCTAAAATCGTGCGAGTTCGTTTGACAACCTAAATTGTTTGTTTTGGAATTTGAATTTGTTTGCTTTTAATAAATATATCTATAAAATGAATAATTTTGTGGTAGCTTTGGGACTATTTAACAATATAATAAATTTGCAACAGAAACGGAGAATGCTCCATCCATCGAATTACACATATACTTATCTGAATGCAAAAATCAAATAAATTTATACTTACATCTTTCTGAATATTTTCTTTTTTGTGCCCTAGCAATGATAAAAATTATTTAAAACATCAAAAAATCGTTGTTCACTTAATCGCTCGCTAAGATATATTTGACTGTTCAATTTAGGTTGCTCGCAGAAAATCTAAATTGTTCCTATTCACTGCGTTACCGACACTTTCCAGTGATTTAGGATTTTTCTCTATTTAGGTAGCAATTTAGACGTACTCGCACACAGCCTAAATTACCAAATAAGTGGTACCGAAATAGAATTGTTGGCTGGCACACTTTATATTATTTTACTATGCTTATGGTCGCCATTTCAGTACCTTCCGAAAACTTGTTTCGAAAGCTTATCAAAAGACCAAAAAAACTAGGATTTGTAACTATTTAAATCAATAAATACATTTCACTGTGAGTTAATACTTCAACATTTATCGAAACTGGTGATATTTTCATTCGATGTTTTTATACGAACATCGATATGAATCGATGCTATATTTCGATGCATCAAATGGAAAAAACTTCGATGTATTTTTTTGACTTGCATCCCTAACCTGCTTCGTCTAACTTAGGGTTTACACCGGACAATACTGTCATGGCAATAATGTCAAAATGATGTGTTTGTTGTAATATGAATTCGCCTTGTTTACAACAAACACATCATTTTGACATTATTGTCCGGTGTAAACCCTAAGTAACGTTTGCATTAGGGATGTCAGTGGCAAAAATACATCGATGTTTTTCTTTGATTCGATGCATCGAAATGTACATCGATATTTTCCGATGCATCGAAGGGCATACATCGATGCATCGATTTGCATAGGATTTTTCAGATAATGTTTCACAACAAATTAGGAGCGTTCCTTATCTCCCAGAAATAGTCAGAAAAAGTCCGAAATAGTCAGATTTAGTCCAGAAAGCGTTCCTTAACTCGGAAATGACTGCAACAATGAGAGAGCAACAGTCAGTGAGAGTGACTCTCATCAGTCCGAAGTAGTCAGATTTAGTCAGAAGAATTTTTTCTGGCAAAATCCTGAAAAGTGTCAAACTCAACTGAATTTAAATTAACGGAAATTAAAGAATACGCAAAAAGTGAGAATAATCTAAAAAGTAAAAGAAATGAATTGAAATTGGAAGGAGGCAAAAAATAATTGATATAGCAAGTGTTTATTGTGCTTGTGCTTGTGTGAATGTGTTTTGTACATACATTTCTGTTCTTATTTGACGTTAGTTTTGTTGTTGCCATTCTTTGGACTAAAAATTTGGGTTTTTGCGTTCCTATACTTTTCCTGTTATTCTCTTTTAGTGAGCGCATTTTGCTTACGCTCTGGCATTTTGACACTTTTCAGATTTTAGTCCAAAAAGATAAGGAATGAACCTAATATGTTATTAGCAAAATTCTACAAAATTTTAAATAAATTCCTGCAACTGAGCTAATTATGTTTCTAACGGAACTTTTTGGAGCCGTTTCAATTTTGTGGTCAAAGTCGAACGAGGGTTCATGTACTAGAGATGTCAGTTTTCAAAAAACATCGATGCATACATGCATACATCGACTATTTATACATCGCGTGGAAAATTTTCGATGCATCGAAGCAAAACATCGATATTTTCGATATATCGAGTTTGCATGCAACCAAATAAAATTTGTTGCTTTTCTACTTTCTGTTGACGCTCGGATTGTATACGTGTAAGAGCCGATTGTGTGCATGTAAAAAGTCTAATATATATAGTTCGTTTCCCAGGAAAGTGTTTGGCAGGCATTGATTTAGATACTTAATAGCACCAGGAGGTACTCGCCCAGCTCTTTCTGGAAGAACCTTTCGACGAAGTAAGGTTTTCTCCGTTTTAACCAGTAAGTATTTTTGTACATTATGTACAAATTTTGATATGGGTTTTTAAAATTTGATTTTTTATGTTGCAGCAAAAGTAAGTGGTGGGTTACGCATGACCAAATTTTTGTGGACCAAAATCTGGAAATTTTTAGCGCATCGAATCCGAACATACAATTTTGTTTTTTAGAATAAAAATACATTTTTTAATACAGTTTAATTTTAGACCAAACAAAGAGAAAAATTATGGAAAAAGTATATTCACACAATAGACATATACGGAGGCGAGAATGTAAATAGGGAAGTCATCTTGATAAGTTTTGGCTACTTTTCTTTGTTTACAAAATGTTTATTATTCTTTTATATCTAAAAAAAACTTGTATATCAAAATGTCAAACTTTGTAGAACATTTACAAAAATCTTACGAATTTTAACAAATACTGATCAAAATTTAACTTTTTAATCAGATTTTAGCCCATTAAATTTTAGGATTAAAAAGGGCAAGTTCGAACTTTTTGGCAATTTTTTGTTCGCATTTTCTTACGTACAAAGTATGTTCGAAATTTTTTTCGTATGCAGAAAATGAGCAACATCTTCCACAAAAAAACTCCAAAAATCAACGGTACTAGCTAGTTAAAATTAACGCTCCATAATAAAATGGAATGGGCTACAAAACTGCATACTCAGAATTTTTCTAATTTTTATACATAGTTTGATTTACATGTTTTTGTTATATAGCGAGGTACACTACAAATAATGCTAAAATGTCTCTTCCCTATTTACATATATTTTTGCCACTGTATCTACAGCTTATATTTTTCATATCCATGAATTTTTTGAAGGAATTTGTAACATTTTTCAAAATTTCACTGAATTCAAGTTAGTCGTTTCATTTAAAAAAAAACTTTAAAAACAACTATTAAAATTTTGTAACATTTTTTAAAATTTCACTGAATTCAAGTTAGTCGTTTCATTAAAATAAAACTTTACAAACAATTATTAAAAGCTTAAGAAAAATTTGGCTAGAATGATTACTGCAATATAGCGAGAGTACCAGTTTGACAGAATAAAAATAACCAAAGATCATAGAAAATAAGGATGCTGGGCTATGTTTGTGGCTCCCCTATATTCTATGTTCTTTGTGATAACGAAAATTCTGCCACGTTTGTACGAACAATTGTTTTTGGTCCAGAGTACCGGAGGACTCTTGTTAAATTAATAAATAAATCACTGAAAATCGGGATTTAATCGGTACAAATATGAAAAATCAGGACACTTATACGTACCTACTTTTAAAAAATAGTCAGCGGGACAATTTTCTCAAAATCGGTACTGTCCCGCCAAAATCGGCACGAATGGTCGCCGTATACATACATAACTTCATATTACTAAAAAATCGCCTGTTTTTATTCCATTTGGATAGAGTATTGAACCCTATGAATTGTTTAGAAGCGGTTGCGGTGGTGGTGTAGCAAAAGTAAGTGGGTTTTATTTATATATATGTGCATGTACATACATAATTTCATATTGGGAACAACAGGTCCGACGAGAGGGAGGGGGAAAAGGGGTGAATCCCCCGGGCCCGAATTATCAGAACCATAACTTGTTATTATTTTATTTACAATGTATTTTCTCCTTCATTATAGGCTTTTATTATAAATATATTCCGATTCGAGCTGATTGTTTCTGACCACTGTTACCAACTTGGTGCTTTTCGCACTAAATNAAATTATCAGAACCATAACTTGTTATTATTTTATTTACAATGTATTTTCTCCTTCATTATAGGCTTTTATTATAAATATATTCCGATTCGCGCTGATTGTTTCTGACCACTGTTACCAACTTGGTGCTTTTCGCACTAAATTTAGTGCTTTCCTTTATTCAAAACCTTCTTCTTTGCACTCACGTATTTCGGCCTCTCTCGTCTTATTGCTGCAAATACGTCTCGCTTCCTTCTTCAGTTCCCTATAACGGTCCCACATGGCTCGCGTTG